TTGCAGAAGATTAAAAAAAGAAAATAGTAGAAAAATAAGTATTTTCATGAAAAAACTTTTGTCAACTTTTAAATTTGTTAAGTTTTAATAAAAATGTTCATCAATTGACATGCTCGGAAAGAATGTAACCTGTTATACTGTATGTTATGTTTCATCCTTAGGAATGGATCTTGAGCTACGTTTAATTTTCAAAGCAATTGGCTTCTTCACCTTGATTGCTGTTGGAGTTCCAAGCAATGCAATAATTTTAGCAATTTTTGTACACATCAGATTTAGAGAAAAGAAGCTTCTGCCTTCAAATGCTATTCTGACCAAGTTGGCTTTGGTGAATTTGCTTGTTATATTTTCCAAAGGCTTTCCCCAAGCCATTCATGCCATAGGAGTTCGGAAAATTTTAAATGACGCTGAATGCAAAATCATTTCTTTCACATATAGGATTTGTAGGGGAATGACCATATGTGTTACTTGCTTGTTGAGCTGCAATCAGTGTATTATATTGGCCCCTCCCTCAAAGACATGGCTTCTCTTAAAGCAGAAAATTCCACCAAACATACCCTGGATTATGGTATTGCTCTGGTGCATCAACTGTGCAATTTATCCATCTTGTTTTCTCCATGTTCTTGCCATAGGCAATTATACCACATCTAAATATACTCTTTACTTGGAATTCTGCAACCATGACTTTAGGAATTTTGCTATATATGTTGCCAATGGTATAGCCATCGCACTGCGTGATTTCTTCTTTGTAGGTACTATGACAATAGCGAGTTGCTACATTGTGTTCATGCTTCATCGACATGGGAAACAGGTTAAAGGTATACGAAGTTCAGACAAAAATCCTGGCAAAACTGCTGAATACAAGGCCTCACAAGCAGTGGTGCTTCTCGTCACAATTTATGTAGCACTTTTTGGGATAGACAGCTGCATCTGGATTTATACTTTAACAGTATCAAGTGTTTCTCCAGCTATTTCAGATGCTAGGGTGTTCTTTGGCACCCTGTATGCTGCTCTCAGTCCTGTTGTAGTTCTAAAAACTAACAAGAAATTAAAAACTATGCTAATGTGTAATTCCAATAAAAATCTACTGTCCCTTAATGAGTCAACAAACAATGATAACTCAGATTAGCAATTCTACTTTTGAGATCAACCAAAAGTAACTGTTGTGGTTGCAGTCACTTTCACCAAGTGTCTTTGACATAAGTGACAGGTAATTATGAAATGTTGAAACCAGTGCTTCTGAAAATATCTGAAATTATTCTAGTGATCACTATAGTCATCTATAATAACAGCATAGTCAGTCATTTAATGTAACCCTTGCCTTGGATTGTATTACATACTTGGTAATAGTTAAATGCTGAAATGTTTATTCACATGCCACAGTCACATTCTAGTATAGTACCTTAACAGAAATACAAAGGATTAGAAGGCAATAATGTCATAGGACATTCACACTATCAGGCCGTTGGTTTAAAGTTTCAAATGTGACTGATTTTCAATTGATCAAGCTTTGCTACAGTTGTATTTATACTATATTTAATTGTACAGAAGTATGTGAATGTACTGTTTGAATTTCAGAATTAGTTCATTTCTACACACTTTTCTTCCCATACTTTCTCATTGGGATTCTTAGTCAATAATCAGAATGTCTTAAAGCCCAACTCCAGGCACAGCTATTTCATTTATGTTTTTCATCTTTAATTCTCACAATTCCACTCTTTTTTATTCAGGAGCTCTTTGAGCTCTTCTGAGAGCTCCTAATATTTATAGTGGGGAGCTGCACATCTGACTCTCTAACACATTGGAACGGTATCTAAGAATGACGCCTGGTCTGGTTTTGTGAATCTGCCCCCTTCCTCTCATGTTCCATTGACAAAGCGCAGCACAGAGAGAGGGCAGAGACCCATTGACAAAGCGCAGCACAGAGAGAGGGCAGAGGCACAATGCTGCAACTGGTGTCCTTCATAGAAGTTGTTAGGATGCAGCAATAAATGAAATGATAAACGATAGAGTAGTAAAGTGATAATTAAAAATTAAATTAAAATAGCTGTATCTGGAGTTGGACTTTAAAAAGCAGGTCGAGTCATTAATGCTTATTATGTTTGGTTTGAATATTGAGTTTAAAAAAATATAAAAAGTTCAGTCATATTTGGCCCTTTGTTAGCTTTTCTTAACTCCGTTAAGTAAATAAATGTGGTTTCACTTGGGGGTCTATTCACTAAGTTGCCGTAGGCAACCGAGTGAACGACCGACCTTAAGCGAAGTGAGCTGAACGCTGTTCGGCTATTCACTTCAGGCTGGTACGGCTAATTCCAGCCGTATATCGGCTGAAATCAGCCATACATTGGGTGGCTTTGTGTGGCTTTGGGTCGGCCGAACATGCTCGGCATGTTCAGCCGACCCGAAGTGCAGAAGAAGTTCGACTCAGCCGATCCAAATTGAAATAGCCAATAGGAATCTAGCGATGCATTCCTATGGTGAACATTTTTTTTGTTTTATTCTGACGGCAGCCAACGGCTCCATGTCAGAATAAAAAAAAAAGCAGGGAAAGCTATCTAATAGCAGGAGACTCCCGGAGCACCCGGTAGAGTTGGGCTGTCTGGAGATCAGTGTCCCTGGTTAGCTGGTAACCAGGAACACTGATCTCTCTGCAAGTGGCCGGAGCCAGCCGTAAGATCACGGTTGGCTCCGCCCACCAGTCACAAGCAGGCTGTCGGCCGGCCAATGGTCGGCCGCTCGTCCAGCTTCGGCTTTCACCTCAGTCGAGCCAAGGCATATGCCTTCAGCTCGACTAAGCCGCTCGGCCCACTTCGGGAGCTGTACGGACTATAGTGAATAGCCCATACAGCAGCCCTTCGGTCCTGGGGCCGGAGCTAGCCGAAGCTATGGCTAGATCCTTCGGCAGCTTCGTGAATAGACCCCTTGATTATGGATAAGCAACTGTATTGCCCCACATTCACACCATCATCATGGATCAATGCTTCACTTGTTTCTACCAATGTATGTATGTATGTCTAAATACAATTAACACAGGTTGGATGCAAAGGAGCTCTCACTGAGCTGCAGAGACACACAAGAAAACCTCCCTACCGGTTTTTGAGAATGCAAGACTCTGTAAGCAGGGGACATTAGAAAATTAAAAATTTCCAAGGGTAAAGTCTTTAAAGAAATATCGCAGGCATGTTGTAAGACAGTACACATGGAAACTGATTTACTAAAGGAGTTGAAAATCTTCATGAAATAAACTGTGTGAATATTCACTTCAAATATCCAATTATGTGAAATGCAAATTCCTGTTCGCCTATTTCATCTGCACATGATTGGGTATTCAAAGTGCACGGAAAACTGATTTTTGCATGATTGCATAACTGAAGTGAATATTTACACAATTTCTTATGTAAAGATTCTCACCTCCTTTATTAAATCGGCGCAATATGTGAAATCTGTTAAGAAAACCACATAATCGTTTTGTTCAAGTCATAAGAAATATATTAGAAACAATATAGCTATGTGGTTAGCCTTTTCTATATTTTTTTTAGCATGTAAAAGCATCTGCTTAATGTAAATCATCTTATGTGTCAATGTTTTAAAAACCTTGTTCTTTTGTATAGTTTGTAATCATTTATGTGCATGGGGAGACCCATAATTGCTCATTACATATACTGTACAGTCTTTACTTTCTTTTAGCAGTGCTAAATAATCATTGTGCTATTCAGTTCTTTTTTACAACGCCTGTGAGTAGACTGAGTCATTGAAATAAAGCACTTCCTACATGTTTGATATCTTAATGGCTGTTAAGAGATGCATTAATTGTATTTAACCAATGAGAACTCCCTCAAATGGCAAATTTACAAATATCTATAATAATCTATAAGCATAAATGATACACTTCATAGTCACCCTCCCAGTTGGCTTTTTATTTAAATAAAGAGAGGTTTGTTGATCTGATGAGCATTTAGTTAGCTTTGAATTTTATAACACATTGCACCGCGGCACAGAAATATAAAGAGTATGATTTATTTCACTGGATAATACCACTGGCAAAAGCTTAAAAGTAAACACATCCCTAAATGGTATTCTATTGACTTTTTCACTTGCTTATTGCTAACTCTTTATCTGTGTGCTAAAAGCATACCATTTCAGGGCCAGTTCACACCACAAAGACTGCGTTCCGGAGCATTTAACCTCTGGAACACACTGGAACCCAAGTTGGCCATCTCCCTGCATTCCGGGGGCGGGAGGAGGCATGGCAGCCACATTTTTATGCACGTTGTTTGCGCATTTTTACATGCATACATCAAAGTAGCGCATTTTTGTGAGCAAAGTATAATGCATTGATGTAAATGGACAAAACATGTGTAGACACATGCAAAAATGCACAAAAATAGTTGCAATGCGCGTTTTCATGCATTGTCTATTGAGTCTATGAGCACAAAACGAGCTGTAATCTGCCAAAAAGAAGCTCATGTACTTTTTCCAGTGACAGGCTTTGCTTATTTTGACGAAACGCTCAGGTGTTAACAGGGGCCTTAGGAATTAATGGGATTTTTTTTGTGAAGCAAATATAGTCATAAAATTAATAACACATGTGACATTTTACATTATATTATCTTTATTTATTAAAATTACTACTTAAACAATCAAGGATTATTGAAAAAGTATGCAAGCCTCTAGTATAACAACATCTTGGTACCTCAATTCACTTATATAAATCAACAAAATAAGAGATGTCATATGAAGGTACCCTATAAAAAGGCACACATAGCATGTTTACTGGCAGGGTCTGCCTTCCTAACTATGATTTGTTTAAGTGAACCATTGATCAATGAAAATCATTTTACAGAACTTTAATAAGGAATAAGAAGTAGAGATACATAAAGATGGAAACTAAACAAGTATTTCTGAAAGCCTAGTTACTTATCATTCCACAGTAAGATAAACTGGGCCTGATTCATTAAGTAAATAAAGTAGAGCAATAATATTAAATGCTTGCATTTTAGGCTTGTTTGAGCTTA